TTTTTTTTTTTTTTTTTTTTTTTGTCTTTTTTGAGACCAGCCGCACCCCACTCAGCCAGTGAGCGCTGTGAGCGCACCAGTCATCCCTATATAGGATCCGAACCCGCGGCGGGAGTGCTGCTGCGCTCCCAGCGCTGCACTCTCCTGAGTGCGCCACGGCTCGGCCCTACCTAAGCTATTTGATTCACTCATATAGTTAGTTGAAAAAATAGTGGATGCCCTACATGATGATTGAGCAGCACTAGGAAGAACCGTCTGAAACCTCAAACTTCCCTCCAGGCATTTGTGGTGCCTGTGAATTCAAATGACACTTTTATCTCCTTGGTTCTTGTCTTCTGACAGCATTCACTATTAAAGTACAAATAACCCTATGCTCCTACCTCGCTAAATATCAGTAAAGAGGTCAGGGATTTTAAACTAAGATACCTCAGGGACTGCTCTTGGGAAGAGGGAGCTGCAAGGAATCCATCCCCACTTCAACTACAGCCATTGTACTTTTGTTTTATGGACTGAAATTACCCTAAAACTTTATTCGTAAGTCATTCTGCTGCAAAAGCAATAAAAAAATACATTCCTTTAGGGCAATGGTTCTCAAACTTTATTGTATACAGGAACCCCCTGAAAGGCTTGAGAACATGCAGATTGCTGCCTGCCCCCATTAACCCCCCCAAAGTTTCTGATAATCTGCATCTCTAACAAGTTCCAAGATGATGCTGCTGGTCAAGAGACCATATACTCTGAGCACTACTGCTTTAGGGGAATTTGTCGACAGCTTCCCAGAATTTATAGGAGAAGCACTGGCAGGGGATGGGTGGGGAGGTAAAGAGGGAAAGTGGGAGAACATCTAGAAGGGAAGGTAATTGGTTCAAAAAATCAGTCTGCTTGTTGATTGCTGCTTATTTTGAATCACTTCGTCTTCATAGCTGAAGCAAGAAGCCACCAATCAGGGTTTCTGACCGTAGGGCTTTGGGCCCTAACCGAGTCCCAAAGGGACTTTCTCTATGCCTAGTCCTAAGCACAAATGGGAGCTTCAGTAAGAGCTGTGGGTCCAGGCCTTCCTGAAGCTTTGATTCACCTCTAAGTTTAAAGTCATAGAACCAGAAAGGCGCACCAAGATTTCACATAGGGTCCCTAGATAATGCTAACATACTGGATGATGGAATCTTCTAGCACAGGCAATGTGATGCCGGCATCAGGAAATTCTAATGAGTTGGGGAGAAAGAAACTAGCCAACTTTCCAATCCTATTAAATATACAAATCAATAGAATTAGACAGTGGTTTACAATATAAAGACAATTTTATTGCCAATAAAAGCCTTTAATAACTCATTTTATCCTATTTCAGTAGGACCTTATTCTTTCTGATGAAAATCCAGTCATAGCATCTCTCATTAAAAATAACATTATTTTGAAATAAATAAATATATAAAATAAATAGCATATACATTTCATAAATAGTTTGTCCTTATGCACAGTATCCACGCTTACATTTTAATATCATTTTCTTACAACCTGCCCCATCTCCCACTTTCAATGGCAGGAAAACTGCATGTCAGGACAGATGAGAAATCTGCAGAGCCAATGCAGGGATGGCTTACAGCAGGGCTACAGCCCCAAGGATTTTCTTAACGAGATTTTTCCAAAGCTGTGTAGGTAGCATCTATGGCAGATTCCTTGGTCTTTTGTTTATACCCAATGTCAAGGTATTTGGGTAGATTGTAGAGCAAGACACCCCTGGCCCTTGGCAAGGGGTCTCCATTCTCTGTAATGCCACCTCAGGGGAAAGAACATGAGTAAGGAAAAAAGTATATACAAAATTCCCTCAAGCCCACCCCTCCCCCACAACCCTCCCCCAAACAACCAAACGTTGATATACATTTTGAACAACAAGGAAACATCTGGGTTGAGTTGAACAGTAAGTGCTTCTCTGTTATCTAAATTGATAGGAAGGAAGGATCGAAAAGCTATGAGTATAGTGCTTGCAGAGACAACTGTGGCCCCAGAGTACATGGGTCACAGAGGTCACACTGTGAAGGGTCCATTACCTATAGCGGAAGAGGTCTCTGGACATGGAAGGCAACTTAGAAGGATCCACTGGCCTGGGTAAAAAGTGAGTGAATTTCTGGTGTCGCTTAGTCCTGTATCCCTCCCGGGGTGAGCCGTCTTTATTCAGGGCCACATAATACTGTCTCTCCGAGTCTGAGTGTTTGTACAAGGTGGAGGCATAGGTGTTGTACCAGTTTTCTTCAAACTGTTCCCGGAAAACACATTCACGTGTGAGTTTCTTCTGTGAGGGCGAGAAAATAAAGCAGAGCCCATTACATGACTATTTCTCCCATCCCAGCTTGCTGGTGGAGAAACCCTGAAATAGCAATAGCACATTGATATTAGAAAATTTCAGTCTTATTTGTTTTATTTCCTCTATTACTGAGGTGTCTTTCTTCCAAATAGCACAAAACACTCCTGTCTGTTATCTCCTTCATCCTCTTTCATAAGCTACACAAAGTTGCTTTAGGTGAGATCTTTCCTGAAGGGAGGAGATGGGAAGATGGGAGGAGATGGCCTCATCTGGCTCTTTGAGTCCGAGAATTTCTGCTTTAGCCTTCCAGTGCCCCACTGGCACCCACTGAGCTTTCTTCCTACTTAGGGCTAATGATGTTCCAATCCATTGAGATTGTAGTCAACCATGTCAACTGACAGGCAAAGGCCTCAGATCTATATAAAGCTCTATGGGAGGTGAGCTGTGATCTCTCCTAATGAAGGGTCTCAGGCCTGTCAGTTGAAAAGCTCAGGAAAGATCTCCTTGAAAAGCTTCTCCAAACTGGCTACTTCAAGCTGGCAGCTCCTGGGTCTCTTGCCTCTGTCCCTTCTCACACTTGATCCAGCCGCCATACTACTTGCTAGGATTGCCGATACCAAGTGCTGGGGACGGGCCTATCTCTTAGGTGTCAGGGAAAAATGTGTTCTGATTTCATGGGATGCAGGCAGCCAGAAAGCATGCTATGTGACTCAAAAGCCAGAGCCAGGAGTTGGGATCCCCTTAAAGGGTTAAGGTCAGCAAATCACTCACCATTCCCCAGTGCTGGGCTAGCTTCCAGAATAGAGAAAATGCACTGCAGCTAGCCCAGTCCTAGCTGGGGGCTTAGGCTGTCACCAGACCCTGGAACCCTCATTCTTCACTTGTTTGTTTCATTTGGCCTTTCGGATTCAGCTGAAGCAATCTGGAAATCAGGGACTGTGTTGGTAACCTCAGAATCCCGCATGTGAAAGCCAACTCTTCCACTGCCTATTTTTGCGCCTGCTAGTCTGCTACTTTGGGCACCCATTAAAAAATTCAAATGTGCTCCTTTGGGAGGGTTAATATCCCAAACCTTGACCATCTACTGACAAACCAGCACAGCTTACTATTACCATCCAGACTAGCTGGCCCTCTATGGGAAAAGGCAAAAGCAAACATATCATGGAAAAGCTTATGTTCTGATGGGGGCTGAATGAGTGAAGGTGCTGTGTAGCAAGGCCCTGAGCAGCCCACAAATAATGAGAAAACACTAGTCCTTTACAGTTGACAAAAGTGCTTTGAAGTGCTAGATAAACGTTTTTATGCTTTTGCCTTATTTTGTCCAAATGCTGGTGGTAACAGCCTCTGATAAAAATAAAACCATCAACTTACCGACCCATATAGCTCTCCTCGCTCATTCATTCCTAGGTACAGGCCAGAGTCCACTCCCCGGATGCTGATCAGCCCCACAGCCAGGCTGATAAACTCCAGGATTCCTAGAGCAAGAAAGTGAATGCCATTCCAATTACTGACATTCAGCTAAGAGAAGCTGTTTGGGTGACACGAGCTCCTTCCTCATCATTTATCCACTGCAGGCCCGCCTTTTGTGCCTTTGGTGAATTACCTGATGAAACCATCTTTTGCAGCAAGAATGAAACCTCAGAGGAGGCACTCAGTCTCTCTGGGCCTCAGTTTTTCCATATATAAAACGGAGGAAATGATCTCTGCCTCTCCTCAACACTCTTAGGCATATTATGAGGAAGAGACCAGGAGAAGGCTTTGGCTACAAAACCTGCATAACTACAAGGTACTATTGCTGTCAAATACCTCCCATTTCAAAAATGGGACGGGAGCTTTCTAAATGCAAGAATGAGGCCAGGTTTCTGTGTCTTTCCCAAAGTCACTTCCCTAGAGCACACAGCATTACCTTACTGTCCTCTAGGTTGAACTTGTTTTGCACCCTCTCAACTCTCATGTCCTTAAAGCCACATGAGGCTGTCAACTGCCTGTAGCTGACTCTAACAAAGGCCACACAGGCCACTCACTAAGTTTGTTCCCCCAGCTTATGGCACGAGGCAAAACTTGGCCTCGTGGGAGCCTTCTCCTAAAAAGTGTTCTCAGTCAGTACAGCCCCAAGCTGACAAGCCTGTTATTCTCCCCCTCTCTCTGGAGAATTTTAAGTTTATCCATGGCGAAGAGTTGGTAAGTAGTACTGGACTCGATACTGATTTGAGATGTAACAACTTTAAGGGGAAGGGGAAGAAATTCAGAAAGTCCTTGTAGCTGAAAAGATTAGAGGTGAGGATTTGAAAATGTTTTCATTTACCCAGCAGCAGTGGGAGAAAAGGAGAAGTCAACTATTAAGAGGGAAAAAGGACCAGAATTGAAATCCTGGTGATACTGAAGACTTCACGATTTTGTCCTAGAATAGTACATCTATTATCTGGATACAGAGATAATAGTCAACTCGATTCCTCTTTGATATGCCTGTCTCTAACCATATTTTTCAACATACAGACCAAAAACTTGACATGACTGTCTGAGGCATCCAAAGGTATGAAATGAGCTCATATCTGGCTGTCTTTCTTATCCAAAAATGCAATTCTTAAGGGTAATAATAATTGTATGTAATCTACATAGGGATTAGAACTGATTCCTTAAACCATCAAACATTTTAAGCAGTTTATTTTGAAATCAGGTTCAAAACTCCAGTGGGAAGTCTCCTGCAGAGTCCCAGTGACTCAGGCTGGCGGGTGCATGTTCAGGTGTGGCAGCTTTGTGTGCATGTGTTTCCACGGCCCACCTGGGTCTACATGAAGGATTTAAGGTTCTTCTGCTGCCATTCTATAGAGCACTCAGGGTTTGGCCTTTGGCGTCTCGCATTGAAATCCTCCAAGTTTTATTCTCAATCTGGCTGTTACTGACTCTTACAGTACAAAGAAAGGAGTCTTAGGAAAAGAGATTGACACAAAATGGTAGGAGGGAAAGGGAAAATACCTAGTGCCAAGTAGGGGTTAATCAGACACTGAGTTAATGGACCCAAATCTTCAGTTGCACCAAACAAGATCCTGCTCTTGGTTCTGCCCTGTTTAACATTTTAATCAATGACTTGTAAGAGGACTTAGGGGGACTGCTTACCCTAGTTCCAGAAGACATACAGTTGGGAAGAATGACACAATTAAGATTCAAAGAGATTTCAAGAGGATGGAAAGATGGGCTGGCTCCAACAAGATAAGCTTAATTAGAATCAATGTAAAGTTGGTCCCCAAAACCAATTTCCCAAGGTGTTTTGTGTTTGGGGTTTTGTTGGAGAGGGGGAGTATAGATAGTTGAGTTAACCATTCTACTTGGTTCGTGGTCTATTATCATAACTGGTCTGCGCAAAGGCTTTTTAGTTATCTATTTCTTTCTTTCTTTTTATCTCCACACTCGGCTCCCATCCACCTCCTCACTTCAGGCAACCACACATAGTTTCTTGAAAACGTGTACTGTTATTTTGTGTTTCTGTGCATCTTAATTATATGCAAGTCTGCCTATCTCTGCAATGGGAAGATGTGGCTTAGCAAAACATACACAATAATAGCTTAAAGGATTTGATTGAACAGGTAAACTCAGTGTCATGGGTGATCAGTGGGATTATTAAAAGGCCATCAGGGCTGGCCTGTTAGCTCGGTTGGTTAGAGTGCAGGGTTGTAACACCATGGTCAAGGGTTTGGATCCCCATAGCGGCCAGTCACCGCCCACCCCCCAAAAGATTAAAAATCATTAAAAAGCTAATGTAAAAAAATGGAAAAAAAAAGGGGGGGGGGAATAAAAGCTACTGTGATCTAAGGTTGCATTGATAGAGGTCTAGTAACTAGCACAAGGGAGGGGATTAACCTACTCTGCTGAGTTGGTCAGACCACACTGAGAGTACTGTGTTTAGTTTTATTCTGTTTACAGAGCGATATGAAAAAACAGAAGCATGTTCGAAAGAGAGTGGCCAATATGGCGAGGAAACTAGAAACCAGGTCATGATTCAGTTCTGGGTGCTAAACTCTGAGGAACACCAGCTCAATGGAGCCTTTAGTTCTTTGTTTTGCTCTGGCAGATTACTTCTGAGCTTCAAGTCTTAGTTCCCTCATTCTCTAAGTATCTCATTTCTCTGACCATCCTGAGCTCATTAAGTAGCAGAGGGTAGCTTGTGACCTCACTGCCCAAGACCTGGTATGAGAACAAATCACAAAACCCAAGAGGTGTGGCTATTTGAGTCACCACAGTTTTTCTCCAACTCTCTGTTAACCCTGATGCCAATGGACAGATCATACAGGAAGTCACTTGGGTTGTGTCCAGTAACAGGGGTCTCCAACAGCTGGAATCATCCCAGCCCAGCTGTCATTGGGCATCATTTCTCTTTGCCAACTTTCCTATTAGCTGGATTCAAACTGTGGGAACCCAGTGGCACATGACGATGGAACAGATATTCCTAAACCTTCTCTTGAATTCCAGCCAGCATGAAGGGGGAGAGAAAACAAGCCATTTTCATATTTTCCCAGCTACAGCTGGACAGGGGTGTTAACAGCAAACCGTTGAAGCAAAGTATTAAATAGACAAAATTTGTCCTCAGTGCTCTCACCCCTTCAAGGCCCAGGACTTCCCTATACTCTGCCTCATCTTGACCTGTCCACCTCAGGCACTGACCTTTTCTCAACAATTTCCAGACTCTTCTCATTTTACAACTCTCTTCCCAGGGCCAAAACTAATCTGTCCTGGGCCCCAGTGCTTGGCTAATGTGTCATTTAATCTGGCTCCACAACTTGCCTGAGCTCCCTCAGCCATCCTTTCAGACCTTCAGGGCCAAGACAGTGCTGCTTTGGCATCTTGCCAAATAAGAACCAGCTCGCTCAGAAACCAAAGCAGCTGCAGGAGCCTGCTCCATCCCACCTGGCGGGAGGCCTCTCCTCCAGTCTGGCCCCAAGCTCTGCTCTGCCAGTCCACAGGTGCCCCTCAGGAACGTCAGGATCCTTGTGAACCTCATGGAAACGCCACCAGCCAGGCGGGGACTGAAACACTCCTGGCTACTGATTGCAGATGGAGAGTGGGGAGCATACGCTGTGCCAACAGGTTATTATTTGGAGTCGGGGCTGCTTTTGGGCTCAGCCTGACTTGTTCTGAACACATGGATTCCAGGGTAATCCTTGGGGGCCCTGCTCTCCAATTACAACAAATAGCTATTTACTTTACATGGCCTTTGGAGACTACCTCCTCCCCCCAAGCAGAAATCTATAATATTTTATATCTTAAGTCTGGCCTACTTTACCCTGCTGGAATGTTGACTGCTAAAGCACTTATGGAATGTTAAAGTTTCGATTTATTGAATACCCTGGCTGATTAACTCAAATGCGGAGGCAGGAGAGCAAATTCAAACGCTACCTCTTTCTGTGCCAAAAACTAAACTGAGAGAGAGTAAGTGTGTGTTTGAAAGTTGACAAGGGAGGTTACAAAGAGACAGCTCTGACCAGATATCGTTTCCTTTACAGGAAATACACGGAACTGCCAGGAAGTCAGGGAAGGAAGAAAGGGAAAGGGTAATGCAGAGGTGGTCTCGGGCAGTGTGAGCATGAACTGTGTGAGCATATAAGAGAGAGAGAGAGAGAGAGAGAGAGAGAGAGAGAGAGAGTGTGTGTGTGTGTGTTTAAAGGCAAAACCCAAAATAAAGCAGTCAGTTAAGCAGCAGCAAAAACATCCCTTCCTCCTGCCAGTTTTATTTCCTTTGGTTTCTCCTTAAACTTAACACTCTTAGCAGGCCTGGGAGATGAAAAGAAATCAAGATGTGTCTTCAGGGAGGTAATTAAAGACCACTTATCCCAAGAGCCTATTACTGATTTATGGTGACCTTGTAAGTTATTGGGCTCAGCTTAGGCACAGAGTCAAACACTTGTAGCCGCTGGGAGCGGTGCTCATAGTTTCTCCACCTTCGCTGCCCCCACCCTGCATTTCTCCATCATCTCACGGCTTTTCTTTCATACTCATATATCAGCCATGAGCTACCCCCATATCTTTAGGCCATTCCTGGGAGCTGCTGAGGTCAGGGTGGGAGTCCCATTCCTTAAGAAGAGGAACAAAAGGGGACCGCAAAATCACAAGTTGATGGAAGGGAAAGGAGCCAAGTTAACACTCCCTCTCCTCCCACTCCACCTTATCACGCTTTTGAGGACCTGCTGCAAGTTTATACAGACACCTGCACCCCTCCATTACCCCTCCCAACCTACTGCACTCCAGCTCTGTTTGAGTGCATTTTTCCAAGATGACATAGACCTCATTAGGGTTCCTGCCTGCTCCCAGTAAGGAAGACCAACCCTGGCCCCAAACTGTTTGCTAGGCTTGGCCTTATGCAGCACCCCGATGTCCCCCTTTTTATTGTGCACTCCAGATGCAGCTCTAGCAAGGTATGGAGAATAGGAGGAAAGGGAGGTTTGGGGTGGGGGGGACATGGGATAGGGTGGGAAAAAGAAGGGAACCCTGTCATGCTTGAGGGTAGGCAAAACCTCTTACTGGCTTAGGAGTAGAAGGTGCCCTTCTTGGATTACAGGGTCCTTGGGAAGAAGCAGAGGGCATTGGAGGATGAGGAGGGGCAAGAAAGGGTAGCTGTCATGGC